ACACCTCGGTGAATCGGCAAAATAAGGGCAAATGACGCGGCAGTCACACCCATGTAGCAACACAGGGTCAAACGTGGGCGCCAAGTTGAGACGATGTTACAGTTAGGTAGTTCACTCGCTTCAGTTTTCTACCGAATTTTGCATTATTATGCACTTAAAAAAGGCCATATGCATGAATTAGAGCTTACTAAAAATCCAAGAGTAACACTTAAAAGATACTAAAATTTCCTGATTATTTACGTCCCAAAAAAACGTCACCTAATCCACATAAATCGCCTATCAGTGGTAAACTAAGCCGCGACTCCTGTGTTCTAGGGCACAATGAATGCCGATGCTTTGATTTGGCCGCAAAAATTATGTTTTTAGCTGACGCGACTGCCTTCACCAGTGCTTGCACCACTAAAACGCTAAACCACAAGGTCACGATCTGCGCTCTGAGTGGTCAATTTGTACACTCTCTTCTCGTAGCGATTGGTCGATTGTTGCACCCCATTGGCCAACTTGTTAAACGTTGAACGGTGGCCTAATGACTCCATCTACCAACAAAGATTTGATGGTCCAGTGAGGCGAGTCCACTCTTGGCAAAGATGTCGCGTAAAAAAGTCACAAAAGTTCCTGCTTTTAACTTATAGTGTACCAAAGTGATGCTAATTGTGGAAGACCAATGCCAGGGCTACCATCCTCCCGAAAGGGCAAAAAAACTATATTCACCAGACTTTTGATCAAATATCACCGTGTAAAAACCGAATCGCACATAAGTCAGGATTGGTTGCCAATGGATTCGCAGCAAAACATCCCATTGCCTTGACAACACATGCTCACGTACCGGGACATTTTGCATTTAAGGATTCAGAGTAGCAGTATGCAACCGACCCAGAATTTTTTACTAATATATTACCACTAGTCAGAGGCACTATTGAAGCAGAATGACTTTAGAGATGAGAAAAGACAGCGAAGACAATGTACCAGACAATACCGACAACGATCAAAGACAAAGAAGAGGAGGTAGGATAAAGTCATTAGCGAGGATTTTATGCTGTCCTCATTTCCCATAGAAGATTCGATAGTAGAGCCATTTTGACCGCCAAAGAGAGAAGGAGTTGTCAAATTTGAAGATGTAGACACCACATCCGGGATATTGATGACTGCCACAATACACCTCCATGTGACAATCTCGGCGGTAGACCGGTATCAGCTCGTCAGTCGGTGGGGTGTTAGCGAGCTTTTTGCTTCTGCTGTTCCCACCTCCACTTTCCACGTCGGCCTCATCTAGAATACGTGCAGCAAGACGATATTTGGACAAAATGATGGGTATCTACCTAAACTCTTCAATCGCCACAGGTTACGCCGTCACCTTGATGAGAAGAACGACTCTCAAGGCCTACAGACCTTCTAGCCCTTCTTCCACACTGGCCGAAGATAACGCAAGTCAAGGCATATACATTGCAGATGAGGACAAGTAAACAGCAAACGTATTCTAACCTGGAGTGGTGGTAGTGTTTCTTGGTTTTGACGCAGGCTCAACTGCACTCCCATCCCCGTCTTCTTCTTCCTCTTCCTCCTCCTCCTCTTCGTCACTTGACTCAGAAATGGTTATTGTTATGTTCTCCTGGGGTGCAAGGTTCCACTCAAAAAAGAGACCAAATCCCAGATCATAGGAGTCAGTTGCAAACTCCCAAAAAATGCTGGATCCCTCCTCGTGAGTGGGAACCCGTAGCTGCAAAGGCGAAAGTTACAGCTAATCACTAGTGTGACTTAGAAAATCTGGTGGCTGAATTTTTGAGCACTGAATGCAATCGTTCAGAAGTCATGCTTCAGCAAGAGAGCAGACTCACCATTAGCTTGATCCATCTATCAACAGCCCATAGGGCTCGAGGTCCTTTTATGACAACTTATAAACGATTAAAGAAGGTAACAAAGCTTTATTTTTTTGTTCTTTCAAATGCACGCGATCTCAGTCTACTTCAACTCACAACAATGGCAATGAGAGACAAACAAAACGACTGGCAATCGTAACTTAACTGACTGGACGCTAAGGGGATTTTAAAAAATGAAACTGATGTTAGATACACAAGAGTCTCGTTTACTCTGTTCCCAAGCAGACTAACATCAAAGACATTTCACTCGAATACAGAGGAGATGATAGGCAGGGAGATGGAGAAAGGTAGATACTGAGTCGATTTGCAAAATAACAGTGACATACCGTCCCCTACCTCCTCAAAATATTGACAAATAAGGACTGACACTCGAAATCAACCCAAAGTCAAAATTCGCCACACAAAGGCTGTGGGGGTAGAAGAGCGAGTCAAAGGATATGTAGAAGGCGCATTTGCATGGCTACCAACAGTGCTAAATCGGTCATTGCATGAGAGGCATTGTGGTGTAGTGCTTAACACAGATCGTAGCCTGTTTACTTGACAAGAGAATGCCCAAAGTGGAGGGGCACATAAAAGGCCGCCGTGTTTCTTGTTGATGAGCTGCCAAAGTGGTTAGTGTAGTTACTTTTCAGGCACAGCGATGGAGCCGTTCTGACGTGAATATAGATGCTACTGTTAGGCTACTGCATGCAAAATTAAGCGCCTCGTGATGACACCCACATTAAAAGAAAACAGAGGAGGACTTCACTTTGGTATCGTAAAGCAGCTTTTCAAGAGGGCCGATGTTTCCCGGACCACAATACACACTCAGAAATGACTCAAATTCACGAATCTGCCAGTAAGTCAAGATTTGAAGTACCCGATTTTGAGGTCCAATCGATTTCAAAAG